GCGTGACTAATGGGTTTTTGGGGCCGAATTCTGTAGTTTATAATGTTTTTTAGCATTCTAACTTTGGGACTTTTTTGGTATTTAGTTATTTGTTGAACTCTTTTACTGTTTTACTCCTAGTCCTAGAAAGTTAGAACTATATAAATCACCTTTAAAGTGTTATAGCTGGTCATTGTTCATAATGTCAAGAAATATGTTAAGGAGACCACACATGTTGTACCACATGATAAAGCAAAATTGTGATATATAATCAATTTTCAATGAGATAAACTTAATTTCTTTAAAAAAAAAAAGAGATAAACTTAATAATTGACATAACATGTGCACGTCATTTGTCATATATAATGGTACCAATGTGATGAAAAAATAGTCTCCTGAGAATTTTCTTACTTTTCAATCAATAAACTTTAACGTTTTATCTTACTTCTGGTATATTCTAATTTTCTTGTTCTTTAAGGTTATCATTTGATACCTTCTCTTTGTCGAGATGCGTCATTTGGTACAGTTTAAAACTCCTTTTATTGGTTATTAATTTATACTACATTAGAGTGCCTTTTTATGTGACAAGTGATACATATAACCAATATCTAATGAAATAGATTCATTAATTGACATTGCTTGTATATAAATTCGATACAAAAAATATGATATCCTCACTATTTTCATTAAGTATTAGATAAGCTAATTTAGTTAATTTCCGTAGGTGTACCAGCCAAAGCCGTACGGCCTAGGGTGTGCCCCTCAAACCATGGGTATTAAATATGAAGTTCAGCTTCCATGGTTGTCCAGTAGATGGACTTTGGTGCTTCTTTATAAATATGAATTGGTTATTTTGAACATAGCAATGCTACATTTATTACTTTGTTTATACCTAATTTACATCACTTCTGTAATAGATACTTAATTTGTATCATCTCGGTAATAGAGGTATGACCCACTACTACATGTGAGTCTCATCTCTATTAGAGATATGGTACAAATATAATATGGAAAATGTGGTAAGAGTAGCATTTTTGTTCTAAATATGTATGCCTTCTTGCACATGAATAGTTCTTTAGGAATGCCAAAAACAGTAATAAAAAATACCTGGGAAATTACTCCTAGGACTCCAAGTGAAACCTTAGCTGCATTAAGATCTTTATCACCATCATTGAGCCTTCGGACCTTGACATAACCATCCGCAGGGCCTCCTGGACTCACAATTGTAAGTCCCACCACATAATCATGAATCGAGCTTCCCTTGCCCCACAATGTACTACCATGTGCCCCAGTCCCTAATAAACCTCCAACGGTTAAACCCCACCAATATGGTGTATAAGGCAAGGCCAGCCCTGCCTTGGCAGCCTCACTGATAAGCTGCCTAAGAGTCACACCACTCTCCAATGTCATGGTCTTTGCTTCAGCATCAATCTCCACCACACGATTGAGGTACTTGGTGCTTATGATCAACCCATCTTCCCCACTTGGACAAACCAGCTTTGGAATGCTATGAGAGTAACGAGTTGCCACCTTCATTTTGGTTTTCTTCTTTGCTGCATTGGCCACTACTGAAATTAGTTCTTCCTCATCCGAAGGATATGCTACGCTGCCTGCTCGACAAACCGATCGATCGGGGAAGATGCCGTAGGAGTTTGTGATGGTGCAGTTTGTGTTGGTTGATGATGAACACTTTATGTGGGCCTCTGGAGGGGTTGAAATACATACCGAGAATGACAATATGAATAGACAAATTGATCGGAGAAGGATCCCCAACTTGACTGAGTTTGTGTATAACAAAGACATGATTGATGTGGTTCTTCAAATTTCTTGGTCTTGAAGCATATATTTATATGTACCCCTTAGCAGGTACATACATACATACATACATACATACATACATACATATATATATATATATATGACTTATAAACTTGTTTATATATACTTAGCACGAAATCTAAAAACTTTTAAAGTTTGGAATGCTTTGTGGACAATACATGAAGGATAAACTTAAAGTTAATATTATCGGTTTATCATACTTATAACATAATATATATATATATATATATATATATATATGGCTTTTTAACTAAAATGATCTTAATATTTGCATAACTCCTTACTTTGGTCCCTGAGATTTGAAATCAATAAAAGTGGTCATTGAGATTAATTATCCACTATCAATCATTTTGGTCATTGGGTGAAAAATTATGTTAAATAAGGATCAAAATGACAAAATTACTCTCAATTTAATAAACAAAGAGAGAAACTTTTTTGAATTGAACAGGCCAAAATAATTTGACTAAAATTGAGGATATTTTTGTCATTTTATTCTTATTTTAAGGAGATTTTTTATGGAATGACCAAAATGATTGATTGTAGACAAACTCAGGACCAATTCTATCGATTTCTAATCTCAGAGACCAAAGTGAGAAGTTATGCAAATTTCAAGGATCATTTTGGCTAAATATATATATATATATATATATATATATATAGGTGATATCGATTTATTTATTTATTTTTATTTCAATTCTAGTTGGCACTTAGGAGTTGATCAACCAGATATTATAACTACAAGGCAAAGATCATGCTCCTTTTTTCCAAACTTGATATTGTCGGTTTGGCATCGTCACATGCAGACAGGTGTGGTCATTAATTGAAACATCTGAATCATGTTCTTTAGCTTGAAATCCACGGAGTGTTTGTTGCTTTGCAATTAGTGCATGGTACCTTCCAAACGAATGAACTGTTGAAGTACATAGACAGATAAAGAGTGGGGAAAGGGAAGCGAAGACAGTTGTTGTTCAACTTGGATACTACTGCATTATAATTTATATGATGAGTGGAGTGCATGCGAACCAATAATACTAAACAGGTGGAAACCCTATCAGAAGTATTTCAAAACCAATACGGCACTAGTGCTCCACAAGACTAGTTGTTTCTGTAGTGTGGCAACAGTGTAGTGGTATTTCTTCTTTGTGGAATTTGTGGTGGCTTAAGTGGTTCTGGTCATCACACTTTTGCATCAATTATAACTATATATATATATATATATGTGTGTGTGTTAAGAGATTCCTTGTTTTATTATTAAATTAGGGTTCCAGAATGGGTTTAATATATACGAGAAGATAAAATGATGTGATGAGGTACACCGTACTCACCATATCTAATATAGTGATGTGATTATGCCGACTTTTATCAAGTCGTAGATGAAAGCTACTTAAGGCAACTACCCCCATTTTTCATGCTGCCGTGATGAAGTCGTCACCTTCTCAAATGATGATACGATGAACTCAAGAAAGAAAGCACTAATCAATGTGCAATAATCCCATTTGGGGATGCCATGCATGGACATGAGAGAAAATTTCAGTCCTTGCTCCATGCAGAATTATTGGGAAATTTGGTATTTCAAACACTTAGACAAAAACTCATTCCTTGCTCCACTACCTAATAGTGCATTATAGTTTTAGTTTTATCGATTCATGATATGCGTTGCAATTTTAATTAATATTATTAGTCACATCCAATAATAAATTTTAGTGTGATTATTTGTTTGAGACTCATTTTTTAATTATTTATATTTGTATTTTAGACTTAAAAATATTTTATATGGTTAATTGCTTATGACACAGGGTTTATCTCCGGCGGGTTTTGGGCTTCATCCAAACTCGAGATCGGAACCTTAAGTCATGTCCCAGAAGAGGGGCCCCTGCGAGGATGCCCCCTTACCCTATCGCTGAGTCTTTGGAAGCGGTTTCACTATCATTTTCATGCGAACCACTTACTTATTAAGAGAAATATGCGAAGATTCCATCTGAAACCGAATCATTGAACAAGTAAAGCATCTCCAGTAGAGTTCTTAAATAAGGACAACCATCTTATAAAATAGGTATAAAACAAATATAGGGACAAATTAATCTCTAAAGGAGCAGAAAGTGAGTCCCTCACCGAATACATAATGTATGTCTTCACATATAGAGACAACTTTGAGTGGAAAACGGAGCCCATAATTTTGATTGAAGCTTTTAATGTTTTTAATTTAATGCTTTTAATTAATTAAAAATTGGTTAATATAAACAAAAAAATGTGCACGTTGAGTGGAAAACAAGACTCATAAATCTTGATTGAAGATTTTAGTGCTTTTGATGCTTATGATTTTAATGCTTTTTATTTTTTATTTTTTATTTTTTTATTTATAAATTTACGAAAGCTTGATATTTTATTGAATTCAAAAATAACTACATCAAATCCTGGCTGAGGAGGTCCTGAATGAGATCAGGAGGGTCCTCAAACCATACAATTTCCTTGCCAATAGAAACAACAAACTTAGATAATTTAATTATGGGCAACCCCATTACATGATCTCGGCATGTGCACAAACTAGATCGAGGAAAGAAACTCCACCGCTTGCCTAGCATCCTCCGCTAGTAAACCAAACTCTGACAAATCTCAAGAATAGTTATTGATAACAGCAATAGCTAGAGAGGAATCACTCTCCACAATAATCTACCTAACCTGCAACATTCTCACCAACTGGAGGCCCTCCAAAACTACCTCAAGCTGTATGTGGAAAACATACCCAATTCCCACCTTCCTCCATACTCTTGCTACTAAGAACTTCCTCGTTCAATCCCTTAACACAGCTCCCACACCCCTGCAAACTGTTCCAGCTGTGTGGCCCAATCAACATTGATTTTGACCCACCCATGAAAGGGGGTCATCCATTTGAGTTGAAGGAGCGGCTTTGGCACACTCGGCACTTCATGGGCTGCCAAAAACGCCTGGTACCAATAGACCACCTTTTGCACTACCTCCATAGGTTGTCTATCCCCAATGCCATTCCACACCAGAGAGTTATGAGTTAGCCACAAACCCTAAAACAAGTTCAAACTTAAATCTTGATTCTCAACCACTGAAAGTAGCCACTCGCGCATCGACACTCTCAGTACAGACATGAAACTAGACCTCACTGGAGACCCCAACCACACATCCTTTGCAAACCTACACTCACAGAACACATGCGCCTCCATTTCGAGGTTCCTCATACACGCCCCACTCAATATCGAGATGCACCCCCTTGCAAATTTACATCTGGTCGGAAAAATGTCCTGACTAACTTTTCGCGTAAAAATTTTCACCTTAGGGGGACTCTTAGGCCTCCATATTGACTTCCAGAGAGGTGAAAAAAATTACTCCCCGCCAACGTAGAAGCACCGACCGAGTTAGATTGCACCAACTCCTTACCCACCAGATAGCCATTGTTAACAGTATAGTCACCTCGGGTATTAATGCTTTTAATTAATTAAAAGAAGTTAACATAAACAAAAAATGTGCATCTAATTAAATTATCACATGAAATCATAACAACTTCAAATTTAGGGATTTTACCATTGGAGGCAATATTCCTTCAGGGATACAAAGATTCCCTTTAAGTCCTTACATGAGTACTCAAAAGTGGTGGGTCAGTCCTTAAATAAGGACTTGTTGGAAAATATTAGTATTTTATGATTATTTGGGTTTGCTTGTTAGTTTAAGTATATGGGCCTAACCCATCCGAATTAGGATTTTTAGGTTTTGCTCCCTATAAATATAGCTTACAGTTTAGTATGAACAACAAGTTAGTTACGATATAGCATCTTAGGATTTTGAAGCCGCTTTGTCATTCTTGTTTGTTTAATAATATCCTTATTATTACAACAACCCAAAACAACATTTTAAAACCCTAATCCCAAACTACATTGAACCCTTAGTTCTTCTTCAAAAACCCAAAACCCCAAAAACAATCACTGACAAACAAACATTATAAAATATCAAAATAACAACCTGAAACCTTAAAGCATAAATAAAAATGTAATAAAATTCAAAATGTTGATGATCAAGGTACACCCAATTTCAAGATAATTTATTTATAAAATTAATATTACACTTCATCATGTTAAAATTCAATATTTTTTTCTTTATTTAAAAAAAAAATCAATTAGTGGTTTAACTACGGCAGTCCGCTCTTCCCAAGGCCCAAAAGACTTAGGGCCTGTTTGGGATTGAGGTGCTTAAAAAAAAAGCTACTATGAAAAAAAGCTATGAAAATTTTTGGTGTTTGGTAAACTTTGAAAAACAGCTTTTTTTCAAAGTTGAGGGTGAAAAAAAGCCCAAAACCAAGAGATGACAAGAAGCTGCAATTTGTAGCTTCCAAAAGTAGCTTATTTTCACCCACACACGGGTGAACAGTGTCCAGGTTTAATGAAATATACCATAACCCAAAACTGCCCTCGGCTTTTCCCTTCACCGACGCTCTCGCCTTTCTCCAAAACTCTCTCGCACGCTCTTCACCTCAGAGCTCTCTCGCATAACCCGAACCTCAGGCTCTCTCTCGTTCTCTCGTTCTCTCGTTCCGTCGTTCCAAAAACTAGCGATCTCGTTCTCCAGGTTTCTCCAGGTAAGCTTCTCATTTATTTGTTTGGATTTTTCAAATTAGGGATGGGGAGATTAGGGAAAGAGGGGTGGGAAGAGCAAAGGGATGAGGGTATGGGTGTCGGGAAAAACAATTGGGGATGGAGGGTGGGGAAAAATTAATTGGGGAAGGGTGATATGGTTTGTGGAAAAAATTAATTGGGAAAAAATTAATTGGGGAAAAAATTAGGGTTTGTGGAGGAAGCTCGGCTGCGGCCAGGTCGAGGAGCTCATCGAGGAGGCGCGCGACGAGCTCACTCTCATCGGCAAGATGATCGGTCAGTATAATATGTTATTTTTATTGCTGGTTTTGGTAATTCATTTATTTAGTTTTTTCTCGTTTTTGAAAGAAATGAAATTGAAAATGGTTATTTGTGTTTTGGGATTGACATTGGCCATGAAAATTGGAATTTAGCTCAGAAATGTGGTTTTATTTTGGGAAATTGAGTGCTTGTTTGTGATTTCGACATTTTTTCTTAGTTTGGTTGATGAGAAATTGAAAAGTAATCGAATTGGCTGTGTAGTTTTGTTTTGTGATGGTAACTTAATAAGTTGTTCATTTCTATGATTGCCCCAGAATGCTGGTAATGCATATCATATGAGGTGGTTAAAGAAGAAAAAAGAGGGTGGCAGGGGGCGGGTGGTGGTTGCGGTTAATGGACACAATTGAATCCAAGTTCAAGTGGAACATATAATAAGCAAATCTGTTTTCTTCACTTTGAAGCATTTCAAACTCTCGTTCAATGTCCAAAGTAGGAATCATTGTTTGTGTGAACTGTGAACTATGGTTTTTACTAGCCATTGTGTACTTGCATGCTTCAGTTAATGCTGATTTTTTGGTTCTTCCGTCTCAGAGTTTTATCATTCTGATGATCAAACTGATGCCTTTCTGTTGCCTTTGTATGAAGTTCTTTTTTGAGCTGACATTTTGAGATACAATATACAATGGATTGTTTGTAATAGTTTGCGTTCTGTATTGACTTGCATTGCAGAGTGGGATCCATGGGGTGTTCCTGATGATTACGAATGTGAGGTGATCGAGAACGATGCTCCAGTTCCCAAACATGTTCCTCTGCACCGACCTGGTCCTCTTTCTGAGGAGTTTTACAAAACGCTGGAAGGACTTACTACAAACCAACCAAAGTTGGATGAGGCTAAAGTCACCTCTATTGGTTCAGAAGCAAAGGAGTAAACCATCCATCGGCATATGCTTCTAGGTACTCTGGATTCCAGATTTGAATTGAAGTCTTTTTTCTTGTATTCTCTCCTGTTTATTGCTGGTGACAATGCCTGTTTGCTGGGTTGTATAAATTTTAATCATGGGAGGAACGCTTGAATTTTTCGATTTCTGCACTTGATACCATTTTGATGTTGTTTACTTAAGTTCCGTCCTTGATTCCCATTGAGAATGAATAATGTAACACAGTTTTAGCTCTTCGAGTATTGACATTGGGATTGTTCGTGGTTCTGGCGTTATGAACGATCTCTGGTTCTTGATTTGGATCACACAATTGCATAGTTATAAACTCTTTGTTGTGGCTTTCTGAATTCTTGTAATTTTACATATTAAAACAACCAGAAAGCTGCTCTGCTGCATATGCGTATATACTTAGATGCGCGTATGGATGCGTTACACAGAGGTATTCAACCACAGGCATTCTTCTCTTAGGAGCATCATTGAACGAACTTTTGGGGTATGGAAGAAAAGATGGGCAATTTTAAGGGATATGCCTAATTACCCGTTCAATAAGCAAGTGAAGATTGTCATTGCTACAATGGCTCTTCATAACTACATACGGAGGTATTCTGAAAGTGATCGTCATTTTGATGACCCCAGGGACTTTTGCGAAGAAAGCGATAGTAGTGATGATGATGATGATGAATATCAAAATTATCAAGTTGAAGGATCACATGAGATAGAGGCATTAAGAAATAGAATAGCAACAAGTTTGATGAATGCATCTAATTAGACTACTTTCAAGTACATTAACAATATTGTACTAATGAATTCTAGCTATTCACTCTAAAATATTTCTATTAAAGTAGTTTGTCATACTAATTAATATTTAAGATAAAGTTTATAAATATTTTTCTTCTAAAAATAAAATATATTTAGTAATTCACTTTTATTTGTTAAGAAAATTAAATTAATAGCACATCTAGTAATATACCCTTTTTGGTCATTTCACACAGGCACAGCTGTTTTACAAAAAAGTTTACCAAACACTATCATACTGCTTTTTTTTTCCAAAAGCACTTTTACAAAAAAGTTTACCAAACATTTTGCTGCTTTATTTCACAGCCGCTTATTCTCACAGCACAGCCGCTTATTCTCACAGCAGCTTTTTTTTAAAGCACAGCAATACCAAACCAGCCCTTAAACACGCAAGCAGAAGGTTTTGCTCTTGGCTTCAAGGACGCAAGAATTTAGTTTTAAGTCTCCCTTAGATGAACCTTCACTATGCCCTAACTAAGGTGAACTTTCACCATGTCCTAACTAAGGTGAACTTTCACGAGTCATTCTAACATAACCTGCAAGATTAAAACAAAAACCTGCAAAATCCTGCGCAGCTAGATAAATTATGAAAGACAAAAATCTCGCGTAGTAAAAGCTATGGAATTCGAATGAATGTCTTACTAAGAAATACTCTTGTAGTAAACACCAACGTTGAAAAAAAAGATTTGCAAAGAACAACGGTCCACAACAACAAACAATCTGGACTCCACTTCCATTCTAAATATCCAAATGATTGGTGCTGGGTATGGGTTGTTTGGGGTTGGTCGTTCTAAGTGATGGTTTGGGTGGTGAAACTCGGGGGAAGAGGGCCTTGGGGTGTTCTGCGGAATGGCAACGTCGCCATCTTGTTGAGAATGAGCCTTATATTGTTGGAAAAACGGACATTGCATGAGCTTATTAAAGGTTGGGCTACTCCCCATATTGGCAATTGGTTTTGTAGTGAAACCTCAACTTCTTCATGGTATTAGAACAGGTTGTCCCACGTGTGAAGCCAAACGGTCACATGCGCTCCATATCGTCACCCCGTTGTGTTGTTCACGTGTTAGGCTTAAAAATTCGCCACACGTGAAGGAGCGTGTTGAGAATATGTCCCACATTGATGGGAGGAGGAGGGACCTTGCATGAACTTATAGCTCTCCATATTGCCAATTGATTTTATGGTGGAACCTCAATTTCTTCATATCTTTTGATTGGCTTTGATCCCCAATGTTGCGGAGAGAAAGGTGCGATAGAGGATTTTCTTCATGATAAGATCTTCAGAGATGGACCAGGAAGAAACCACTTCTCGCAACAGAGAAAATGTCAAAAAAATGCAATAGTTTCGCATATGAAAATAAAGAGTTTTGCAATAAAAAATAAGGAATTTTAACGAAAAACTTCCGGTACTATTCACTTTAACAAAAAACCGTATTTTTACACTAAAAAGTCAATTCTGGTACTATTCACTTTACCATTTATTTTGTCTTTATTGTTAAAACTTAAAGTTTTCAAATTCTTTTCATTAGTTTTCCTTAAAAAATACAGGATTCCGCATAAAAGCTTAAAAGGTTGTTCAGTTAGCTTTGAACTGTCCTCTGCGAATTAATTCGCACTGCAATCTAAAAAATAACTAATAACAAGATAATTTTTTATTTTTTTTTATTTTTATTTTTATAAATGAACAATTATCACTTAGTACTACGGTTTAGATATATATTTTTTCAACTGTTAAGTGGAAGGTTAGGACTGGAAGGTCTAAAATTCGACTCTTGTAAATGGCGTGTTTGATGCAAATTATTATAGAAACTCCATTACGTAGCTTAATTAAAAATATTAATTAAGGTGTTCATATATTTAAAACACGCTAGAGTACTAACCTCAATCACAAAGTTTCAAAGACATTTTCCTTTTGTTGTTTCTCCATGCATGCTAGTAAGAGTTCTTCTATTGGTTTCCACAAGAAGTTACAATACCAAATGTGATGTATTATGTGAAACACCAACACAGACTCTTAGAGCAGTTCCACCGTGGGTAATAGCCCGATGGACTGGCTCTCAAACAGGGCCAGATAGTCCCAGCAATGAGGTCCAGCGTGTGCTGGCGATTGACCCCAAGTGAGCCCGAGGGAGAGGCCCGGCACAAGTAACTAGCCCGAGAACTCGAAGGCCACGTGACACAAGGTTGACGTCTGGGCGACGTCAGCCACATGGTGGACGGGCCTAGACAAAGTCGAAGAGCGGTAACACCCTAATGCGGTGGTGGACCGGCCTGAATAGCTCTTCGCGGAGGTCGATCTCGATGCCAGTGACGTCGATATCCCGGAGACGGAGGGCGAGCTTCTCACCGATGCGAGAGGCGACCTTGGCGTCCCAGAAGGTTTGGGAGCGAAGGAAGCGGTTGAGATTGGATCGGTAGCGGGCAACGAACTCTTACTCGGAGGAGGAGGCCATGGCTATGATTGAGGAGCTGTTGGGGCTCATCACTTGTGCTGTAATTTTGCGGCATGAGAGCACCAAGCAGAGGACATGGTGGTTTCCGGACATTGCAATTTGCAAAGAGTGATAGAAACAGAGAGAGACGGAACTGGGAACTATTCGATTCTATTCTGTTCAATTCTGTTGAGTCACCACTGGGTGGTGTTTGGGTTTCTGTTTTACTTTTCTTAAAATAATTATTTTGTATTATTTGAAAAATAAAAACATACTATTATTTTATTGCCCATTGTCAGAGCTATTTAGTGTAGGAGTGGAGATGCAAAAAACAGTTACTGTTCACTGGATGGATTAAATAGTGAATATCCCTAGAAGGCCTTAGCAACGGTGAAGTTGCTCTTACTGATATAAAGTACATAGCCTTAATAGAATACGCCCATCATAAGCCCATTAGGAATCCTTATGTATCTATACTTCCCTAAATTAAGTCAGACAGAATAGGAAACCCATTTTGCCCATATTTCTCAAATTTACTAAACTTTAGTGGGCACATGATATGCTGAGTAAATATTCCAAATTTCAGTTGGGTTTCCAAGCAATCTATACGATGACTAGGTGACCACATTAGGCACCGATGAAATTTTTCCCACTATGTGCGGCACTAAGAGAAATATTCCACACAAAAACCCTCGTATCCCGTATTGCACATATATAATTGTATAAACAAAACAGTTTGAGATATATTAGGCATCTCCACCATTGCACATATTATCTTCTTTCCTTGAAAAAAAAATTGAAGTGGGAAAGACAGTTTCATCAATTTCCAAAGGGTGTTCAGTAAGGGGTCATTCTACTTATCACTTTGATGATGCTACCTATATTTGCAGACATAATCATAAAGTAGGAAAAAGCAAGAGGGCCACTTTTCAGACCCAGGACAGGGTCGCTGTACTAAGATGCACATGGAGTTTTCAGTGCCACTGTTTCCCTCTGAATTTGGTCCATGATTTTTTCTGAAATTTGAAGAAAATACTCGAGCAGACAGGTATTAATCATAAAAAGGCTGCACCTTTAATGGATAAAAAAGGATGCGTAAAAGATATTAAAGTGCAAATAGTTAATGATCCATTGTCCTTAAATTTTGTGGATGAGAATTATAAGAATCTTAACATTTTAACTGTTTATGAGAATTATAAGAATCTTTATATTTTAATTGTTTATTGTATATCGTGTAGTCGATTTTTCTTAGTTACTATTTGTATATAATTTTAAATAATAAAATTTAAATGATTTTTGACCGTACGATATACGATGAATGATTAATATGTGAGGATCACTAAGATCCCCACAATTTGGATCCAGATGGGATCCAAATTCAAACTTTATATACAAGAAACAGTGGAGGGGCCTCATATGCAAAAATTATTGTTCTTAACTACTTAAATTACAAGCCTCATATTGTCTTTAAATTTTAAACATGGCTTAATTAATTTGGAAATGTGCAACTAATTAAGTAAAAGGCTAGAAACATGAAAGAATTATAGTGAAGAACATGAAGAATTGCCATGTAGGATTGGAACATTGGTATCCCAATTCACGTGTTACAATGTAAATGACGATTAATTTACACTTTGAATCCGAATCATCTAGAGTACAAAATGAATAAATAAACGCGTATTAATACATAAGTGGAAAGAACAATAACTTCTCAAAGAGAGAACTTGCGGAATTCTGGTTTAAATTAGGAGCTACGAGAGTGAGAAATTGTAGGAAAATAAGAGAGGGAAGATTGTAATCAACTAAGTCACAAAGTTTGTCAATAATGGCACATTTGCACATAGATGCACTGGTTGTATCTTGTGTCTCTTTCATGGATTATCAACAAGAAAGAAATAAAAGAAAATGTTCATCATAAAATATAAAATAAAATAAAAAGCACACTTGCACCTTTAACTTCAAGCCAATCATAAAAAGGGGGGAAAACTTCGATCAGATTCATTCTGCTACCTACCCAAATACTCACTGCTCTCTAAAATTACATCCCAATTGCCACTAGAACATTATTTAGTGGTCAAAACTACCTCTTAATCACAATTCAAATCAAACTAAAAGATTGAGACAAGTTATAGCTCACAATCCCCCCCAGTCAATTTTAATCACCTCAACCACCTCCTAAGGTCACTAGTTGAACAAGGGGAAACCTCACCACCATGACTCTCAGTGCAACAAGAAGAATAGTTAGACTGTTGCTCCATGCCGAAATGCGATGCACTCACACTCTTAAAGCTTGGACTCCTCAAGCTGTGTCCATAACCTCCATATCCAATTGTCACGCCATAAGGATCAGGAGCTGGAAACGAGAGCCTTTTCTTTGCTGATCCGGCTGCTCGTTCCCGGTCTGGTGTAGATGGCCTTTGCCGGGGTGCACTCTGAGAGCGTATCCGAGCCTTGGCAGACTCAGTTGCAGCCATGTAATTAGGCAATGCAACACCAGAATTGGCAATGCTACTATTGCTTGTGCTACCAGCCCTGCTGCTATGTTGTTGGTGCACAGCACCAGTGTAGAAATAGTTGGACCTAAGGCTTGGAGTTTGAGATGCATTGGAACTTCTATCTTCTCTAATGCAATGAGGGCTGGCAGACCGGACTTGGACAGGCCGGGTTTTCGATGGGGAGGGTGTGATAGGGGAGTGATGATGAAAGGGTTGGCTTTGGTAGGCTCTATCTCTATGGAGTGGCGAGCTGGGTCTTTGTTTAGGTGAGCCGGGTCTTTGCTTTGGTGAACTGGGTCTTTGTTGTTGGTTTTGGTGGTATTGGCTTGCGCTTGATCTTCTGTAGTTTGGTGCTAAACTTGAATAAGGCTGAGAAGTGTCGATTTCGACTGTTTTAATGTGGTCTCTCTGGTCAGTTGAAGCTCTTCCTCTGCTCTCCCATGGCTTTGGGGCCATCCATCTATCCAGCCATTTCGGTCTCTCTTCAAGCTCATCCTCATTTCCCATAGATGGGGTCTTGCCGTTCCTCCATATCTTCGATCACACAGAAAATTGAGACCGATTAGCTCATGAATGAAATGAAACCATTGAGAAAAGGAAAAAAACAGAGTTATAGCGGATTCAAGCGGATAACAGACCTGTTGAGAAAAGGCTTGGGACAACGATTTCTCTCGCTTCATGGCAGCTTCTTTCCTGTGCTGCAACATGGCTTTTACTTCCTCGATGGTGTGAGGACGTTCGTCCCAATCATCTGCTATGCTACTTCCCTCTCTAGACTGCTACACACAACAATACACAAATTCAATTATCTTGGAACTACTGTGTTCTTTCTTTCTTTCTTTGTTGTAAGTGAAAGCAAGAGAGAGCAAGAAAGCTACTTCCACTAACACTAATCATAACAAAGAAGGTATTTTTAAGTAACATTGCGCACAAATTCCTCTGCAGTTTCTAAAAGCATATCTAACACAATAACACGAAACTTAAAACTAAAACCAAACAGTTATCAGACGGCCAATTCCTTTCTTTCCTGTTTGCAATTTTCAATGTCAAAAGCAAGAAAAACACTTGAGCATCGAAGATTAACATTTCAAAAGTAAACTTTGTTGCTATTTGGGAATGTATCTAACTCACCAGGGACTTCCTATCCGAAATGTCTTGAAGATACTGCGATTCCCAAACCCTACTGGTGGTGTCACTAAACGCAGACTTTCTGCTGCCTTCATGAGAAAGCCTGGTTCGCTGATCGAGCACCCGAGACTGTACTCGAACCAGAGCCTGCATGCACTTGAGCGTCATCTTTGCTTGTTTCCTGACATTATGGCCTCTCACCAATGCCTGCAACTTCACAAGCCCTTTAAGAGCACGAAGCGCCCTCCTTGCCTAAACCACAAACAAAATCACACAACATTCAAACCCAATTTCCCATTTTCTTGTTTAACTTTCACCGCAACCAAACAGAAGTTTAGATCTGGTCATATTAAATGCTGTAAACCTACCAAGTATCCTCTGAAAGCTGTCTGGATAACAATGGCGTAGTAATTTTCTCTGGCGTGATTGGATGGCCTAGTCAGCCGAACCACTTCTGCGGCTGCGTGGGCGGTGGCCATCGCTGCCTCCGCCGTGGCCACCGCCACAGAAAGCACGTGCTTTTGATCTGCAGCTGCAGAAACATGCCTTTGCTCCGCGGCTGCTTCTTGGGTCACTGTTTCTTGTTGGTTTAAACTTGTGGGTTTTCTGAAAATCCACCTTCGTTTCTCTCTTTTCTACAGAAACCCCAGAAAACCAAAGGTAAATATACATTTTCTGGATTTGCTGCCCAGTAACAAAAACAGAGATACAAAAAACAAAGAAAGTGAAAAGATTTTGGGTTTTAAAGACGAAGAAGAATGGACCTTCTGATCTTCGTCGTCTTTAGTGGGAGATCTGAAAGCCCTTTTGACAGCAGTCAACCAGGAAGTGCCGCCCTTCCTCCCCATCAGATAATACAGTAAAACTAAAACCCAGCTGCATTTACAGCAGCAAGTAGGAGGCCGAGAGAGAGAAAGAGAGAACACAAAGTGACAGATAATGACAGTGGGGATGACCGTGGCTTGTACGAAAGTGCGACCTCTTTTAACTCTAAAGATTGATATAGAAAGCTCGAGAGAGAAACCCAAGAATGTGACTTGTTCAGCTAAAGCTTAAGATTCATTCAATCAAGTATTATATAAAGTCGATGTTTTTCGAGTCTGCACTGGGCACTGTTACATGACGTCTTGCTCTAATATTGTTGGACGATAACACAAATTATTGTTTGTGCAGTCACTACAACAGTTTACGCAGTCCATTTAAATCCTCCGAATACGAGCGGTTAACTGTTGATGTTCTCTCTCAACTTACAAATTACTAAAATTTATAACAAAAACTTCTATACAAATACTAATGAATCGATGGCATTTTTTTTTGTTTGAAAGGTTAAAACTTAGGAAACTAATGAAAAATGTTTGAAAACATTGAATTTTAATCAAAATGACTAAAATGTGTTGTAAGTAAATAATATCAGAAGTTACTTTTTAGAGTAAAAATGTCATTTTCATTAAAAATAAACAGTACTGGAAGTGTTTCGTTAAAAATTGCTTAAAACTTAGGTTTTTTTTGCGGGAAATGAATCATTTTCGGATCCCTTTCCACCTAATCCGTGATCCGGATTGTTGAAATTTGATCCAACGGTTACAAATAAGGATCCTTTAAAAATGATAATAATTGTAACCGTTAAATCAAATTTTAACTGTTTAAATTTCAAATTAGATAAATTAAGTGTAAAGAGATCCGAAGCATATCCTTTACTTTTTTGGGGGGCATTGAAGGACAGAAATGGGTGGTGCTGTCAGAGAAGACCTCAACAAAACTTTATAAAACTAAAAATGTAATAGAGGACGTGACAAAGTATTGAGAAAAATTGGTGTTTCGTGAGTGAGATCGATTATCGAGGATGTTGAAGACCGAGAGAGAAGGAAAAAAAGAATGAGAGAGCACGTTGAGGGTGCGCGGGAACCAACGGTAGTGCTCTGTCTTTAGCCAATATATATTTTTCTTTGTTGAGAGTATCAATATCAATATGAGAAAAGTGATTCATTCATTTTATTGTATTTGTGTATAAGTAATTGAGTTGTTTTTTATATTTTCAATTGATTTTAAGATTGAATTTCAATTTTTTTTTATACTATCAGAACATGTTGTTTCATTTATGAAGTTCAACGGCTATATGTGATACACGTCATTCAATTTGTGTTGTCCACATGTTAAACTTTAAAAGGTACAATGGCCCAAGCAACCAGACTTAACATAAATGTGTAAGAATTTGAGTAGACATAATCATTATTTAATAGAACTGTATTGATTAAGTTAATAGAGTTTTGTAAGGGTAGGTTATATGAAACATTCAAAAAAATAATGTAAAGGACTTTTTTTAGTTATTTGAGAGACCTATTGTATTCCTTATAGGTGGATAACAATAGGCTTATGTGACTATAAAAAGGTTGATCCTGCTCTCCAAATACTAGCTTAAAAATGTGTTAAGTCCTATTAAAAGCATAAGCATACAAGGTGGATATCAATAGGCTTATGTGACTATAAAAAGGTTGGTCCCTGCTCTCCAAATACTGGCTTAAAAATGTGTTAAGTCCATTGTGAGTGAGAGGTCTTAATTCGATTTTCGTCAAAAACGAATTTAAACCACATTACTGTTAGTCCACTGTAAGGCTAAGCCCACCCCCTCTCATTTTAGTGTAGATAATATCGTTTGTTAAAAAAAAAAAATGTTAAGTCCTATTTAAAGCATAAGCATACAATTTTGTGAGAGTAGAAGACTTTCTTGATTTCTGAGCATTATGTCTTCTTCGCCCTCAGGTGCGTGTCTATTATTTTTTTTGTCAGTATGAATTTGGATTAATTATGATTCTATGTGTTAGTTGATAATGATGTATGTAAGTTATTCTTACAAAATGTAGTCAGTAGAGCCATTCTAAAACCAGATAATTTGCTATATATATGGGTGTGTTGAGACTATAAATCTCATATTGGAAAAAAGGTTACATATACTTATAAAAAATTAAATTACTCTCCATGTTATCAATAATTTTATACTTTTTTTTTTCCTCTTATCTTCTTCTTTTCTGTGTAGAAAAGGGTGTCTGTGGGGAAGGTGGTCTGTTGCTGCCTTTTCTCTTTAAAAAAAAATAAACTAGGGCATAAAGCTCTCATGCTGTCACGTGGATGCAGACAGCAGGTTGGGTTAATTATCATGTGGTTGATGCACCGCGGTGGTCCTCCTCCACAACTTATATACAAGGCTACGAGCCTACGGCCGTCTTCATACATTCAACCTCTATCGTCAATTAGGTTTGATAATAACTTATAATTTTCTGTCAAAACTGTCTTTTGCATTTATTTAAACACATAAGTAATATGTGATGAAAGAGATATAGAGAGTTGTTCGATAATAACTTACCGCCAAATTTGCAAAATACTTGCAAAACTTGTTTCTCAAAGTATATTTAAAGAAAGTTTGTTTATCAAAGTTTCAAAGACAATTCAGCAGTTCATTGTTAATCAATATCAATATTGTTCTTAACTTAAATACTTGTAGAATTTAAAATGTAGAATTACACAAAAGGTCTTGATGTAATTAGTAATATTATGTATTACTTAATCAGGTTTATGATACGATACTTTACGTACTTTAACATCGTTAATGAGAGGGTAAAAAAAAAAAAAAAAAAAAAAAAAAGCATCTGTGCAACGCATTAGGCTATCTCTAATACACCGAAAAACTTGAAGTAAAAAAAATTATATTTAACTAAAAATTACATTCAATTACTCTTCAATGCACTTAAAAAGTAAAAGGTCATATATGACTCTGGAAATAGGCTTACGCGTAAGTTTCTCTTGCAGTTCCCACTGTACACTTGCGTTCTACAAATACTTGAGGACCTTTTGAGTAATGGCACCACGGCATCTTCTAATTCAACAAGTGGCGGTCCATAAAAATTCAACATTTTCTGGGTCTCTTGGTAAGACTCGTGGTTGTAGGTGTACTGGATTTTGACTACAGTTGGCCATAGAGTTTAGTGATACACATGGTCTTCACAGATTCTTCAGCTTTCGGAAGCTCAGTCAAACATTAAATATTAAATATTAAATATACTGATACAGTGTCCTGCACTGTACTTCATATTATATTTTACAGAAGTGATAAAAATTAGGAAAGTGTTATTAGTATTTCAAAAATTTTATTCTACACTTTTCCCAAGTGTTTTTTTTTTCTTTCCTAATATAAAAAGTTTAGAGTGTAGAATGAGATTTTTAGAGTGCTAATAAAAATTCCCTACAAATTATTGCAATTATAAATATAGGATTAGGCACAGAATGGTTAGCTTTTGTAACCATTGCACCATATATTTTAGAGAAATACCCCAAAATGAGACAATTTCTTAATCTTAGGACATAAATAGGATAAACCGACCATGTACAAACCATGCATAAAATCGAAATTACTAAAATATCCACATTTAAATGGGTTATTCCTCCCATTTTCTGATTTCTCTATCTCTACTATCTCTCCCTTCCTCTCTCTCTTCTCTCACTTTCTCTCTCTACTCTCTCTCCCTTCCTCAAATCTCTAAGCTTTGATTTCAAAGCGATGGAAGTCCAAAGAGATGCGAGAAGAGTGAGCTGGGCTTTGGGTTCACTTCATATCTCTGATTTCGAACAAAGGGATGCGAGAGAGAGGTTAGGAGAGTGAACTAGGTTTTGTACCATATTATCTGTTTTGGCCGGAAAGTTCCATTTTTTCCAACGACTGAAGTTTTGGTAGACATAGTAAGGTAGGGTGTTTGGTTCCAAGTTCCTTCATCAATGATTTATGGAATAAATGGGTTGTTGTAAGATGAATTAATACTTAGAAGTTAAATTAAGGTTTGTGTTTCATGTTGGGGCGTATGGGTTGTGGAATAAATTTCAAGTTTTGACATGCTATAAGACTGTGATGGAACAATTTTTGGTTCAAGTGTCCAATTACATAAATTTGTGCAAATTTTTTCGTAATGTGCATGTGGTGCACATATGGTGTGCATGGCTACATCTTAATATGAGAAGCGGGAATGTTCACTAGTTATGATGCATGTATGTTGTGCCCCAAAATTCAACGAGTATGATCACAGCCTAGTTGGCCTCTGCAAAAAAATAAAAATAAAAATAAAATAAAATTAGAGGATGTTAAGAGTCATACGTGTCCGTGAAATAATGTCAATGAGTATCATGTTTTCCACGTGCACGGTTAAGCGGTGATTGATATATGTAACAAGACTTTTCAAACTATCACTGTAACCATATATACATAACAATTATGTTTTAATTGTTAGCGTGAGTCAATATTAGGAAAAGTAGGGAATGTAAATAATAGGAGTCCTTTATTAAGTAGGTTTGTGTATATGTTATTTGTTTCCTTGTAAAACTATAATAGTACTGATGTATATATATTTCTAAACAAGTAATACAAGAAAACATTCCGTAAAAGTTCTATTTGGTATCAAGAGCGCCGAAACCCTAGTTTTTTTTTTCTTCCGCTGTGCTTGGGTGACTGTTTTTCTGCAATTTTCTGCAGAAAACAGTGGTACCGTGTGTGTGTGTAATCTTGCTGCGTGCAGTGTGGTTTTCTGCAGTGTTTTTTCTGCAATTTTTCTGCAGCAAACAGTGTTGCTGTGTGTGTGGTATTGCTGCGTGCAGTGTGGTTTTTCTGCAGTGTTTTTTCTGCAGCAAACAGTGTTGCTGTGTGTGTGGTATTGCTGCGATCTCTGCTGTGTATTTTTCTGCAATTTTTTCTGCAAAAAAAGGTGTGATCCGTGAGGGTGTTTTTGGTGATTTGGTGAGCAACTTCTCTGCACAGTTTTTTGTCTGTGTGGTGTGGTTGCGTGTACGTAGTATCGTGTTGTTTGTTTGTGGATTGCTGTGCTGTTGGGTTTGAGCCTTTTTTCGAATCCAATAGGTCACGGGTTTGACTCCGGCGGAAGTTGTTGTTGCTTGTTTGTTCTTGCAACGTGTGGTTCCGTAATTGGTAGGGTGCTGTGATTGCCGTGTACTTGTGATTGTCATTTTTGCGTATTATTAAATGGCAAATACAGGTTGGATTTTAGATTCTGGTGCAACGGATCATA